CTTTTACTGTATGTTTAGATTGTATATTGTTATAAGGGGTGGTAGTAAGCCATTACTATATTTAGAGGATATGTATTCCTACCTCAATGTTCCGTTATGTTATGTTATAAGACAGACATTCAAAATAATTGTATGGTTCTTAGTCACGATAACGTTCCTCATATATCAGATGAGCAAGCACATTCTCTGTATAATACGTCCAATTAGGGAGAGAGGATAAAGAAATAAAATATTTTCTAATATTTCCCAATGTTAATAATAAGTCTGTTAAATTCATTGTAATATTTTTTTTATATCGAACAACAATAGCTGGTTATTTCATTTCATTGTTTAACTGATTATTCGAAAGTTGAATAAAACACGAATTACGCAATTCTATTAATATAGTCACATTTTGCAAGTATTTATTTTTACTATATATTTTTTTCTGTTATCTTGTTATCATTATATATCATCATCATTTATTATTATTATATATATCATTATCATCATATATATGTTATCATTATATAAATAAATCTGCACATATGTTTGATGTACAGTGAGGACATGTCACCTACCTATATATATTTAAAAGGATCCCATTTTCAAAGGATAAGATAAGATTCGGATCAAAGGTCTTGAGTCAGAAATATAAAAGCATGATGTAATTCATCATTGAACTAGAGATTTCTTAATTCGTGCCTGTTTGTATAAAACAATGAAATCAGAGAGCGCAGATGACGAAGCTTTAAACTGAAGTCCAGTAAATTAAATTACATTATTTACGGTACAAAGATACTTGTTATTAATTAGTCTAAACCATGTCCTCTTTATAAATAAGAGGAGAAAATAAATTATGAATTACTTATTTAAAGGTTCCTTGAATGATATGTAAAATAATTTTTAGCTTCCGAGAAATTGTGGTCTAAAAACATTAATTTGCTTCAGCAAATTAAATTTTCAGATTAACTAAGAATTATACCTTTATAAAAGGAAATTTTTGAAGCATAAGTAATATTATGTAGACAAATGTATAGTTTTTTTTTTTTTTTTTTTTTTTTTTTTTTTTTTTTTTTTTTTTTTTTTGTTATCCTTGGGAAAATGCATTTACGCATACCCGCCGTTTTTAGAAAACAGCGGGGTATGTGGGACTCGTTGCCACTACCCACTAAAAACCCAAGGGTGTTCCACGACGGCCCTTGTGTCGGGGCGGGGGATCGCTTTCGCACTGCCACCAGCTTCCCCGACAGGCTGGCCCGCATTCTGGGGGCCCTTCTTCTTTTGGGGGGCACTGGTACCGCCCCCCTCCTCATGTGGTGCTCTTTTCCACGCACGTGACCTCGGGAGTTGCATGGGGAACACAACCATGCAACTCCCTTTACCGTTTAGCGCGGGTTGGGGTCCGCGCCACGGGCCATTTTCATGGCGGCCTCAAATCGTCGCGGGCGTCTCTGCGGCGGCGCCCAGCACGGTGTCTGCGAGAGGGGAGGGAAGATGAGGCTTCCCTCACCCTACCGGCCTCCTCCTTCGCGGACATTACCGCCTCGCAGAAGGCGACCGCGGCGTCCCAGGCCGACTCACGCCGCACCATGCACCACACCATGTGGTGCAGTGATAAGACCCCAGCCTCCATTGCCCTTACTAGGTCACGGCGCTGCTCCGCCCATGCTGGGCACACCTCCAAGGTATGCTGCGCCGTGTCCTCGGGGCAATCCGCACAATGGTGGCATGCCGGAGATTCCTCCCGCCCTATTCGACACAGCTACTTCCCAAAGCAACCATGCCCTGAGAGTACCTGTGTTAGGCGGAAGGAGAGGCCACCATGCTGTCTCTGCAGCCACTCCGACATGACGGGCCTTACCGCCGCTATCGTGGCGTGTCCCGCATTTGGCGTCTCGAGCCGCTCGTACCACTCCGCCATGGACAGCAACACCAGCTCTTTTCTGCGCGCCTCGACCGCTCTAGGCATGACCACCGCGCCTCTCTCCAGCACTTCCCCGCGCCACCTGTACAGCTGTGCGAGAAGCTTAGCCTCCAGGTCCCATGGTGGGGAGACAAATGTATAGTAGTTGTTTTAGTTTGGATGACAGGAGATGTGATAATAGATTATATGGCATATGCTGCACTTTATTATGCGTTGATAAATATCATGAGATAAGGTTATTGCAACATAAATTCATAAATCTAAACAGTGTAAGTCTAACGCCAACGGACAATACACCACGTTTCTGACGGATACTTGTGTTCTGCCTCTTGGCAGTTTTCCGACGATTTCTGCTTTAAAAAAAATTCTTTGTCTTCTATGATTTTTTAATACATACGCCTTTTTGTTTGTCCATGAATAAAATGTAGGTTGAAATCCGCTGTATCTCGGTATAGCGTAATTAAAGCCCGTAGTGAAAATAAAGCGAACGAGTTCTGTACAGCATGTGTAAAATAGATGTTCTTTATTTGATGGATGTTTGTTTCGCTTCGGAAATGAATACTGTTTTATCACTATATAACAAAATATTTCAATGGAACCACCAATTATTCAAAACTTGTACATTTTTTATTAAAAATATTTCATACGTGCTAAACAAAGGTTTCCAGTATTATGAAATTTTAATTAGAGAAGATCAAATATTCTTAGCACTTATATACAATTTTAAGCAATTATGAAAGATTTTAATCAATAAAAATTCTATTAGCCCGAAAAATATATTTCTTTATTTGGTTCAATATTTTAATTAAAACACTTTTTTGGATTTTACCGGAGTATTTTATTTTTATTATTTTATCCGACGTATTACTTTTCAATAAACGTGATCACCGGCAAACGAAATAAAAAAGTGACCGTGATTATATACAAATAAACTTGGAATATTTTTTTACCTCTACTAAAAATAAGTTTATAATTTACTCTAACACTGACGTAGCATACTTTGACTGTATATTGAGGTCTTGCATTTATAAATGTATGACACATTGAATAAACAAAGAAAAACAGCGATAGAAAAGTTAAAACTTTATTATATTTAATGAAAACATCTAAAAAAATCAGTAGTAAGTAACATACAGTGGACAAACCAACCTTACTTCCGCTTTGAACAACACTTGCTGGGCTATTGATATTTAAAAAAACACTATGATATGGATGGAAAAAGGGCTGGCAATTATGTTTTAAAAAGAAACTTATTGAAAACATCATTTCAAAGTGTTGTCGTGAAAATCAAGACTACGTAATATTAGTTTCTGGTTTGAATTCAAATATTCTCCAGTACAGGGAAGCTCATTTATTAAAGGACGCTATACAGACTATTTTCGTGTCACTACGATCACTAGGACCAACGCCTCAATGAAAATATTGCGAAAAACGTGAAAAATTCATCTATTTTCTGGACTTCTATTGTGTGCTCCGACAAATTTTTTAAGGTTGTTTCACTGTGACATTTTAAACGTTTATCAAATTTGTCCTAAAGCAATAACAGCTTTTCTGACAAAAAAAAATGTTCTATGGAATCAACAAAAATATAATAGTAATCCTAAAGAAACCAGTATAGTTTTGTTTTTAAATTCTTTCTCGTTCGGATGGACGTAGTCACAAACATCAGACAACGAAGGCCATAATTCTAATCCATAATAAACGTTTTTCATTAAACAAATTGTGTTCTTGAAATATATGTAGTTTGACCACGTCTATATCCTAAAACTAGTTAAATGCTCAATGATTTTATTCTTCTAAATTTATAACCACTCATTTCAGCAATGTTCATGAATGGAACATAGTTTTCTTCCTCATATGTCTTACAATTTTACCATAATATAATTACGGGAAGCGAAATTTTTGCAACCCTTTTTAAGATAATTTCGAAAATAGATGTATGTAAAATTTAACACAGTTTAGGTAAAACGGGGAAGAAGTTCCATTATCGTTTGATTTAAAATTGTATATTGTAAACATCATACGTACGTAAGATAAAGAAATCGATGGCGGTAGGTGATATAATAACAAGACCGAATGACAGATACTTACAATTCGTCTGCCCGTGATCACGGTTGCTGTAAAGTAGCCGAAACGTCGGGAGTATGTTGTTTTTAGTCAAAAATAAAAAATAGCGTAGTAAATCCGAAAATACTAGTTTCATATAAATTAGTACTCGCGAAAATCTTAGATCTCGTTATCATATGTACGTGTTACGTACAAGCAACATGTTGTAAGTAAATGAAAAAACGGCCAACAGTGTTGTATTTAAAATCCTCCGCGGAAAGAGCACCTGGCCTTGTGAACCAAAAGATTCCTGATACCACACAAGAAATGGAATGACATTGCTATCCTAACATCGAGGCAACTATGTAATATATATAGGTTATAAGTTTTATGTTAGTCTTATTATAATATATATTAGTTTCGTAGTTACTCTGTAACCTTTGTCTAGCAGTGAAGCGCATCCTTTATTATTTACTTCTTAAAGATCCCTCAATATGTAAAGCCGCTAAATGTCAATAATTATATTTCAATTCTACAGAACTCAAAACAATGAATAAATTTGTCGAGTATTGATAACTTATCCCTACTTAATATTATAAATGCGAAAGTAACTCTGTCTGTCTGTCTGTCTGCTACGCTTTCACGCCTAAACCACTGAACTGATTTTAATGAAATTCGGTACAGAGATAGAGTTGACCTTGAGAAAGAACATAGGATAGTTTTTATCCCAGACTTTTGAAAGGTTCTCTTGGAAACGCGATATAACCGAACTCCACGCGGCGAAGCTGCGGGCGGAAAGCTAGTTTCATATAAAACAGTCCCGCATACAAAGTTTTTATTAAATAGTTCTTTACTAGATTAAAACATTTCTTGATTATCATTTGATTGATTTTTAAGCATATTTTCTATGTTCTTTAATGTTTATATATAAATGAACTTAATTAAATTGTTTATTACTACCCAAACATTGATTGTTACTTTGAAAAGAGCAAAAGAGTCAGATTTATTTCGATTAGGTTTTAAGACCATACAAATATTTTGTTTCCAGGTGTTATACAGGTGTGGTCGGCGCCTGGTGGAGAGACTCGACTTCCATGCGACCTGGCAGCTGCAGTCCACGATGTTGCGATGATGATGTGGTTCAAAGACGGTGACAGGATGCCGATATATACGTGAGTATATCAGTTCTTGATAGTAAGTTGCATTCTAACATTGAATATGTTACTAAATTTTTTTACAAACCATTTAATGCAATTACTATACTGCTAGTTAATAAACCTCTTTCTTTTGTTTCGGAATATCTTGCTGAGTTTGGATACTGAAGCTATATTTTTGCGTAATATGCTCATAATATTACCTGATTTTATAATAATACAAATCAAAGTATTTTAATAAATCATATCGTTAATTAGTTTTATATTAAATAAGTTCCGTAAAGTTTTTTTTATCGAATATTATTTTTTTATTTGAATATTTTATAGAGATTATAAAACTACTTTTAAATTTCTCGATAGTTACTAATAGAGTGTTATAAATAAAAGTGCTTCAAAAATAGCAGCTAATTTCTTATTTAAATGGGATTTGCATACAGCATAAAATAAATATTAAATAATTTTTCTTAATTAATGATACTTGTGTAGAAAATATATATAAGTGCTAGTTATATATTGAGAGCAAGCGGAATGAAACTTTGATTTAAAATTCCAATAAATGTTGACAGTAATTTATCGACGTGAACAAATTTCACAACTACCATTTATTGGATATCATATCTGGCACTATTTATTTCTATAACTTTTCATTGAATTATTTTTGATCAATTATATTATTCTTGTTAAATATATCAGTATAATTATATTTCTTTCCTGAAAAACTATTCAAGAAAACTTCGTTATAAAATCATTAATTCAAAGATGAATGAATATGTTAACAGTCTTAAGAAAACCGTATTATAAATCCTCCGAATATCACAAGCAGATGTGAAATTGGGCAGCAAAATGTCACAAAACATAGGTAATTAATAACAGAGCTCCCAAAACGTGTGAAGACGCTGTGATTGATGAATGTCATCTGAACACTTGATGAAACTATGGTCTAACTATTACGTGTGTCCTATTTTAAGTCAATTTAATATTTGGACGTTCACATTCCGATGTGTAAATGATATTAAAGGTTAATTAGTGACATTCGTGTACATCGGTCACACGTTAAATTAATTAAAATTGATTATATTTTATATTATGATGAAAATACATGTAAGTGTATTAAATTTCTTTTGAATAGGCTTACGGGATGATAATTTTTATAATAAGAGTAGTTGAACGAACTAAGCTCATAGAACTCCTTTCCATATTTTTATGGTGAGACTCCCTAGAACGATTTTAGACATATGCCGTGATGTAATTGTACATAAGATTCTGAAATTATATAAAATAATGTCTAATGTTAAAGTAAATACAGACGTAAACGCATTTACACTAATATAAGGATAATCGCTAAATATACGTCCAAAATTTTCTTAAAAATAAATGCTAACATATCTATTAAATTCCGTTATGTTTTATCAGAGGCTGGTATTCCTAATAATAATAATTATTATTTTATGTGCAAAAACAAAAGTACTTTGCATGAATATTTAAACTTAACTTCACTTTTTTACGTAACATCGTGTAGGCCTTACAATAAAACAATTACATTATTTAAGCCTACATGTATCGTATCGTTCGAGTTTCAAGAGTGATCTCCTTTAACGAGTGTCCTCCAGGCTACTGTCAGGTCACATGATATACAAGGCACACTGAAGTTCCAGCACTAATTACAAGCAGTACATAAATTCACGCGACCGGGCTTTGTCCTTCCATTTGTATTTCTCGTAAATTCCTCACGTAATTTAACTGAAGCCTAACTTGAATTATGTGTTCTATTGTATTGTATAGGAAACTGATCGTTGTTTAGATAATGCTAATTTGTAATACTCAAAATATTCTAACAAAAGTTTCAGAAATGATCAGAAACAATAGCAGTATATTCTAAGAAGGTATATTTGTTTATTAAACATAAAACAGTTATTATCTCGTTCAATCAACTGGGTCAAAATAATTAATAAGGAAACCTTAGGTGTTTCCTCCGATATGGGATCCCGTGAGACATGGAGATCGAATTTTCAATATAGTCGGATGATCTTACTTATGAGCCTGATCTCATAATCTATACCATAATATAAATGTGTATTGTATAAAGGATATTTTTCTTGGACTAGTTTTCTTTTCTTAACTTTATTCTAGTTAATTTTTAAAATATATATATATAATATTGTATCAACTTATTTTCTAATTTGTTAAAAGCGTATGTATGAGAAATATTTATCGATGGCCGTTATGCTACTCGTTGCTAAACTATTTAGTATATCACGTGAACGCTGGTCAAATTCTTGAAAGTTTATTTATGATGAATATGTACATTATTGCAGAAAAATTTCTTTATGAAATATCGTGGTTACATAAAAGTAAACTGAAAGCAACTGTGTTTAACTTACATGTGATTTGTAACAGGATTAAAGAGATTTATAATTTTACTAAAAAAAGAACAAGTTCGTTTAGGTTAGGTATTGTTGTGAAATAAAGAAAAAAATAACAGTTACTACGAGTGGTAACAAGTAAGTTGGCTGCTCTCCAACATAATATATAGAGGTAGCAGTTCTGTTTTATATGAATTTGGGCAGCCGTTCTTGTAGTGTTTTAATTGTGTGGTATATTAGACACTTCAATTTCTCAATTCGTTTAAAAATTGTTGTATTTTTCTGCTGTAGCTAGTTATATATTATTTCTTTAGGGACTTAATTAACTGCTCTGCTGAGTTTTTAAATAAACGTGTAATGTAACGTAAACCAATTAAGGTAATGTTAAGTTAAAAATTCATTCTACTTTCACTAGAATGTTAAATGTCATGAAAAGTTAAACATGTTATACATGGTTTAGTATGTTTATTTTGTTAAAATAGCACTCAATTCTTATGATTTATACTGCTTGATAAAAAAAATATTTATCTGGTTATTAAAAAATGCATATAATAGTTATATTTTGATTTATTTCACTACGTAATGATTTTTTAAATTATCAATTATGGTAAATTACGATACTTATTAGGTTCTTCTATCTTGTTTTTAAATGTATTCTATTAAGTGTAAATAATTAATTATTCCTGTTCCCGTCGTGTTTGTATCGTCACAGCAGGAGCTAAAAGCGACTTGTAATTCCTTTACTAATATTATTACTATTTTTCACAACATATTATATTGTATAAAAGAAACATTCAATTATATTATTCAATATGTTTCTTCTTCATACATTTTAAGTTGAAATATTGTAATGTCATATAAGTAATGTTAAAAATTGTATTAAAAAGAATATGGTCACAAATATTACGATACCGAATTATCTTCCTTACAACTGTGAAGTTTTAAGAAGTATTAAGTATGTTATTTGTTATTTGTATTTCCAAATTCTTTCAAAATTGTATTACTTCTTAGTAACTATACCAGTTGATACTTAATAATACATAAAATATTAAATCGTTTCTATGCAGCTTCGATAGCTTTATTTGTAATACAAAATTTGAAAAATACAACCACGGTAATGTTAAATATAATAATTTTAAATCGATTAATACAATAAAATTGCAGCATATACAACTACGTCTAAAAGTGCCGATGTACAAGCTTAAATTCATTAAAATGAACGAAATTTTGGAAAAGATTTATGTAAATTTCAAGAAGTAACTTCCCTGCTTTGAACTGAAACTTGGCTTACATCTGTACAAGATGTTGGTCAGTACTTAGTATCGATACACTAAGGACATAAACAAGTTTGCACTTCATATAAGAGGTATTCATTGGTACTGCAGATTTGATGTTAGCAGATGTTAGACTACATACTTACTCAAACCATCTAGAATATGGTATATAGAGGCCCATACATAGATATATTATTATTATAAGTAATACTTTAAAAATATATAACATTTTGTATCTTCTTGAGGACTCTACAATAAGTACATTTAACGGCCTTAACTTTATTCTATAGAACATATGTATGCATAGAAATATTTTGTAATAAATTATATATATCCTAAGATACTATGCAAACTGATATTTAATATTAATAGTCACATATCAAATATAACGTACTAAATGAGCGTTAAGAAGTATCAATAAATAATATAAGTATCAATAAAATAAGTACAATAGCTTTTAAATGCAAGCTAAAACCAACAAGTTAATTATCTTAACACTACTGTGACAACTACTGTCTACTACTTTAATTCATGATGTCATAACACAAACACGAATATATTTGAACATATTAAATGAACAGTTTTCATACATTTATTCTACAACTAGCTTTCCGCCCGCAGCTTCGCCCGCGTGGAGTTCGGTTATATCGCGTTCCAACATAACTTTTCAAAAGTAAGGAATAAAAACTATCATATGTTCTTTTTCAAGGTCAACACTATCTCTGTACCAAATTTCATTCAAATCAGTTCAGTGGTTTAGGCGCGAAAGCGTAAAAGACAGACAGATAGAGTTACTTTCGCATTTATAATATTAGTAGGGATTGATATATCTAAATGTAATTATTATTGCTAAAGACAAAAATAAATATGGCTCATACATCACTTAAGATTAATTATATTGTTATTGATAGATTCGCTGATAGAAACAGATATGGAATTACCGTATTAAGAAAAAAGTATCAATATTAAATGTAACGACTGTTTTTATCGTTATTGCTCGAGATTGCCTTATTATATGAAATTGTTTTTGGAAGCTAGAATAATCAATGTGGCGTCTGGCTTCTTGCTAAATCCAATGTTATTAAGTGATAAAAATTATCCCCTTACACAAGTTAGTCAGTGAATAGACTTCGTTAATAAAAAATCTAACTTGTTGGTGATTTAATGTCATCAGCCTATCAGAGCAGACTGCTGAGCAAAGGCATCTTTTTCACTGGGAGTAGGTTTGAGCATTAATCACCATGCTTGCTCAAGACGGGTTGGTGATATCAAACTTATAATTGTGAAATTATAAGTGATGATTTAATAATTAATTAATTAATCATCAAATTAATTTATGAGAAAAAACTGAAACAAGTACGGTATGATATAAAAAGAACTG